CCGCCGTAACAATCACAAACTTAGGGGTTTTTTGTGGGGCACCCTGTAGATAAGGCAAAACTCACAGAACCACAGCTTCGCAATGCACTTAGGATTTTAATCCTTATAGGCCTTTTGGTCTTTCAAGAATCGCACTGTGAAATGCATTATTATGTACGAAACTTAATCGAGTGTAATGTAAAATAAACTAAGCGTTGGTTTTAAATGTGAAAGGTATTTCTTCGTAAGATCAAGCACGTCTGAGAACTGCCAACATTATTTCCAAATGGACCATTATGCAGGCACATTTTCTTTTAGACGGAACTCCCTGCATAAAAACCAGTGCCTGTCTTTCAAACATCACATGATTCAAACTAAGTGATACGTTTACGCCTACGTCAAAATTATTAATTAGATTCTCGTGCACTTAGAATGTTTTCATTGACCTTGCATTTAAGAAGGTCACTTTCCTAGCACGCTTCAGCGACAACTGCTGCTTGTCCAAAGTGAGTAGATACTGCTGTTTGTATGCGAATAACGATGAGTGTGCGTAATTCTGTTTTTTTTTAACTTAAGAATTTGAATTGCATCTATGCATGTTTTGGTGTCTGCGTTATTCCTCTGCCTGTTAAACCTTCTTATTGTCTCTGCGTTTGGTGAGTTTATTTTGATATTAGTGGGAACCCTAATGCAACTTAGAATTGAGAGTAGACTTGAAGGTATTTGGATGTCCTTGCTAAGGTACATTACAATTTTTGCAGATCAGTGGATCGGCAAGGAAAAAAACCCGTATCCACAATTTTTCTGGATCCACTGTTCCCCGTATTATTCACTGGTACGTATGAAGTTTTATCTCTTCCATAAAACATCTTTTTTCTATATGCACTGACACGCCTTTTTGTTCTGTCTTAGGATGTTACTTTGTGCGATTATATAGTCCCCGAGAAAGACTACAGCCCAGTTGTTGGCAAATTACAAATGGTAGGATTTTAGCCGCAGTCCAGTATAGTTACTAAATCAGGTTTAGTACAATAGTTTATCAATGCCTGCTATATATCAATCAAACAATCCGTTGGCATCTTTCTATTTATGCTATTTCACCTGGTGTTTCTTTCTTTTTAGACCGTTCATATTGAAAGCTAACGCTAGGGCCAACATCCGCATCGAAAGTTATTATTCTATATCCAGTAAATACTGATATATACCCCGTGGCAATTTATGTCAATGAATTCAGTGGTGAGTGCCCTACCCTTTGCAGATATGTATTAGTTACATTTAACTTAAAAAGACCGAGCAAAAGGACTTTTTTTAATGAAGTAATGATCACGAGTGTGTGGCAGTATGTCATGATGGCATATTTTGCCCATGTGATAAACATCCCATTAGTAATTACTTTGCTGTGTTAAGTATAGTCAAAGCAAACTGTTAACCAGCAATGCAAAATTTATAACACCTAATTTATGCAAGTGCACACACTACTAACAAAAAAGGCACTATGAACCTGCACTCTTGCTTCAGTAATGACAACCAGAGGTTACTTCCTCTATGTAATAAATGGAACTTGTGGTCACCATTCTACCTTGTTTGAATTTCTACTTTTTAGCATAGTTCAACGCCGGTCCTTTCGTTATTATATAAAGACCGTGTTTAGGAAATGGAGAGGAAGAAAGAAGGTGCACAAATTTATTTTGTAATTAATTTTTATTAGGACTCTATATTTGCGGAGTATGCATTTTCTAAATGTTAACTTGCATATTACTGCACACAGACCCTGGGGTCCCATCGAACGCTACAACTCGATATATTAGAGTGGAACATTATCAGGACAAAGTAGTGCGGCTTTTATACGACGAAGCAGTGCAGGCATGATATTTTTTAACATTTGCGGTACTCACATTGGAAAAATTCAGGCAATGACAATGGACACAAATTGGACGTACCATACGGTATGTCACTTGTTCCTTAATGTTTATTCTACAAGCAAACAGTATCTTATTAACCGTGTAATGCTGATGTACACGCATATAACCCCAATCTACGAAATAAAAATAGGAATATGATAACATCGGATAAGTTCAAATCAGCTAGAATATAGATACCATTTTTTATTGCTGAATGTAAGAATGCTCGTTGCCTTCCAATTGTGAGAAGCAAAGGTGAATATTTGCAAAAAAGGAATCTATAGCTGTCGTTCCGTATTAATCACATACAAAAATGCTTTTGATAAGATGAAGATCGGTGGTTCGTCCCATTTAAGAAATGTGTTTTTTTATTTAAAAATTAACAGAAAACGAGTACTGCAGAGGAAAACGCAACATTCTACTGACCGGACAAACGGGATGGTTCTATCTGGAATTCTTGAAATATTCCAGTGGTATTCCGAGCACAAAGTTGACATTTCCACCAAGAGTTGCTGCAAAAATCGTTTCCATTTCCTTCACTCAACGAACAACAACAACAACAACAACCACAACAAAGACAACGACAACAACAACAACCACACCAAAAACCACAACAACGACGCCAACAATGACACCAACAACGACACCAACAACGACACTAACAACGACGCCAACAACGACGACAACAACGACACCAACAACGATGCCAACAACGACACCAACAACCACTACAACCACAACAACGGCAGCACCAAAGACTACTATTGACGAGGATTCGACCACCCCTGGTGAAGAACCAACAGAAATAGATACAGGGTATTACGATACCGACAATCCTACAACAGTCTAATATTATTAACGTCCCTCACGGTAGAACTTCTGAAAATTCAGCAACAAAAAACAACCACCTCAGAAACCACATGCCGTGCGCTACAGTTTCATCTAGCCAGCTTTTTTCATACATTTTCTCCATTACTTAAGTCTGTTATATTGCAAGCTGTAATGAGCGCCTTTATACTCTTTCTTTTCAATATCTACATACATACAATAAACGAAATTTATGAAAACAAACGACTACTTTTTAGCTGAAAATTAAAAAAACGTGGGTAAACACTTGCGATATTGTTGGCAAATAAAATAAAAGTAAATATCTTGGGCGGAAGTGCAAATAACATCTTACTTTTATTACAGGTAACAATATATAACGGAAACCAATTTAAGTATACTGAAGGGAAAAACATGAAGTTACACAATGATCTACAGGGCGAACTTATCCAAGAAGTAACAGTAAGGCAAAAGAAAGATATCTAACAAGACATACGTTGAAATAGGCCACGTCAAAAACATAAAATCTGATTTTAAAAGTGTTGCTGATTTTAGCAAATTTCTATAGTAAAATGCGGTTTTAAATGAAGCAGAAAGCTTTTTGTAGTATGCAAATAAATGATAAGCGTCAAGTGTTATTTCGACCATCTTAATCGATGATGTCCGCTATATGCCCAAGGGGAGGGACGGTGACTGCGGCCAGATATAGTGAAAGTAGACACGTCCACACCCCTCCCTCTGAACCCTCTCCCCACTTGAAACGTGACAAGACAAAGTCGAGATGACTGAGCAAGAATTGGGCGTAGGCCGAGCAATCATCACGCCCGAGCCCACCGCCCGTGATTAAAGTTTAGCAGGTCAGAGTCCGCGTTCCCTCCAACAAACTATCTACGCGAAGGAAGGCAATTAACGTTAATTGTCGCTGTATATTTGCAGTTATGACTGTATCCTATAAATACTGCAAACTCCTGTGCATGTATTACCCTTTTTTCTGCTACTGTTTCCTGCCCAAGTCTCTGATGAATCCGCGACGGGTGTCAAAACGTCAGGCGAATAAACGTGTTGACCCACCGATCGAGTCGTCTTCCTCTCAGTAGGCCGCTTTCGCCAGTGCAGGCAGAAATAAAGCCTAACTTAGTCTTAAGTGACAGTAGCATTTTGCGCTGATACTACTGCACTATCAACCCTAAGTAGCCCATAGTTAGTGCCCGGAATGATTTGAGGAGCCCGGTACTCGTATTTCTACTACGTTAACTGCTGCAGGCATTCCAAGAAATGTAATTTCAAGGAAAGACATCCCAGAGGAAAGGAGTCAGAGATGGTCCCGTGTTCCTTCGATGTCAACTAGGAGTAGGGACCTGGAGGTTAGCCATTCTGAGAAGAGTAAGTGCTTAAGGATTGGAGCACATCCGACTCTTTCGTGTCTTTAAGGCTTTTCGACTCCCAAACACTTCTATGCTCTGCATTGCCACATGTGGAAAAAGTCTGGTGTGTTTTAAGTATGCCAGTAAAGATCTTAACATTATGCATAAGGAAGAGGACTTTTTGAGTACCGGATCAATAGATATAGTGTCCTGAGCTTTCGAATTCTTGCAGGAGTCCATCTTCAGAGGTGAGAAGTAGCAACCAAACGAGGGTAATTATAGTGGCCATAGATCAATCAATTGTTAGAAATAATCAGGTTTTCAGGCCATTAGAAACAACTATCACAAAGGGACGGGGAAGGAGGGCAATTCGCTGTCAGTGGAGTCGGGGGCAGTTACAGTGGTATACGCTAATTAGTTGTCCGTGGAGCAGGGGGTCATGAACAGCAATAAGTGAGGCGACTTGTCACCCGATCGAGGGTCCTGGCAACCTTGCCTCCTCCTCCGGCTGGCTCGTCGTGGAATCTTCTTCGTTTGCAATCCTTACGTTCGGTTTGCTCTTGTTTCGTCCTTCGCTCTCATAATGGCACAAGACTTTGCAGACCGAGGGGAGGTCCAGATGGCTGTTGATGGAGTTGACATTTGAGTACCATGCCTCAAGCATCAGCCTTTCGGCTTTTGAGTTTCCGCGGCCTACGATGGTTGCTCCTTGCAGATGGAAGTCATGGCCAGTCTCTGCGACGTGTGCTGCAAGTTGAGAGTTTGGGTCGAGTCTCCAAGCTGCCCGTTTGTGTTCGTGAAGGCGGGTCTGCAATTTGCGGCCTGTTTCTCCAACGTAATTGCAGTCTCCCTCGTTGCAAAATATCTTGTAGACAACTGCAGATGTTTCTGTAGGAGGCAGTCTGTCTTTAGGTTGCAGCACCCGCCGGCGTATTGTCGCCAGCACGTTGCAACAGTCGTGAGACTGCTTCGAAGACCCCTTTTATGTAGATAATGGCTTTTCAGAGTTCGGGTTGTAATTGCACTGGCCGTCGTCTGTTGATTCGGCGCCTGCTCTGTTTGATGAATGAC